CGGCAGGTGAGGAGGTGTGGGCAAAGGGCAGGATGGGACCCCGGGCACGGGGTCGGGCCGGAGCGCTCGGCTCCCGGCTGGGGAGGTGGCACCAAGCCCCTCGAGGAGTTGGGGAGCCCCACGAGTGACGCTCGCCATGGAGAGGATGGAATGGGATCGCGGTTTGTTTGGTTCAAATGGAGGGACGGGCAGTAACTGCTGTAGAGCTGCGGGAGAAGTCTGCGTTTGACGAGGGAAAGTTCCCTTCTCCTCTGCAATACTCTGCTGTAAATAGAAACTCCCTCAGCATTTACACAACAGTATGTTCAGCCTCGATCAACCCTTAAGCGCTGGGGATGCCTGAGGAGGTCATGGATTGATAGTGGGGGCTGTGGGAGCTGCCCAGACCCAGCTTCATCAGCCACCAAACAATTAGTGGCTGTTCTCCCCTAATTCATAAGCACAGCCATTTGTAATATTCATTAACACATGAACAAAAGTCTCCAGTCAGAACTATCTCCGTGGACTTATCTAAGTGAAAGCACTTGATGGGTTTCTCCTTTTCTCAAAGATGACCTCATGTGATATCCCCTTAGTGGTGCAAAACAGGAAAGGACACAGCCCATCTTGCTGGCAGAGCTGCTTCCAGCTCCCCTGGAGCTGAGGAATCTACTGGAAGGAGGGATGGATCCTGGTGCCACCACAGCTTGTCTCCCAGATGGCAAAGGAATAATTTGCCATCAGGGTGTCTCTCTCTGTGCTCCTGCCAGGAGCGCAGATGATATTTCCTAGTTTGTTTTAGTGAGCTCTGCTGCAAATTTGCTGTTCTTCTAATCATTTTAAGCTTAGTGGCAGCACTGCTATATTAAGCCTATATTAAGCAAGCTGAGGTAGCTGAGCTGCCATGTCAGAACTGCTGCTGGGTTCATGTTTGAGGTTAGAAAGAGGTTGCACGCAGAAAATGATGCACCGATGCATCACCACTCACTGTGCTTAGTGTTTATGTACCGTGGTGTAAATGAGCCTTAAAAAACACGAGTCAACTTCACCATCACAAAACACAATCATCACTTAGTTGCGGTGATGATTCACCTACTCATAAAGGAAAACAGATGGAATTGTAAGCACTGAATGGAGCTGTTGAGAGAGCTTGAGATCTGTGTGAGACACGTTGGGAACTTAATGCAATAGAGAGGGAGAAATATGACAAACATCTGCACTGTGTGATTCCAGTTAAATTGCTACTCAGATGTTTCTCTGGTGAGTAACTTGGAACTCATTCTCTGGCTCCTGCTTTAAGTACCGAGTCTTTTATTTCTTCAGACTCAGTTTCGGTGCAGGAAAACATTTATGGAGGACTAGATCAGTGCCTTAGACTTCATTAGGATGCATTACAATCACTCAGACTTTGAAGCAGGACTTAACTCATAAATATCTCTGTGCTGCATATGAGGAGCTTAAAAAAAAACAAACCACAACACAAAATCACCAAAACTCAATCCAAGTTATTTATTTCTAGTGCCTAGTTTACTTCTGCAGTAAATAGGTGAATTTCTCCAGCAGGCAAGGGGGAAATACCTGGAGTTGGTGACAATTCCTCCTGCTACTCCAGGCTGTAGCATTCACTACATACTGTCACAGCAGTCACTTGTAAACTGCATTTTGTTCCATGCATGAGGTAAATTCTGAGCCAAGAGGTAAAGAAATGGTTTATACACATCTGGAATGTTACTACCTATAAACAATGTGTTTAAAAGTCACTGATACATTCTAGTCACAGAATTATCTTAATGCCACACACCGAACCCAATTTGTTTGGTTCCCCAGAGATTTCACACTGTGATTTTCCCCCTTTCTCGTTCTGAGGATTCCTTTCATCATGACCTCGTTTGAAGAAGCTGAAACAGAAGAGACTGTAACATGCCTCCACATGACTTTCTACCACCCTTGCCAGAATGAGAAGATGATGTTTTGCTGCTTGAACCTCCATAAGCGAGAGCAGGTGAAGGCACACGAAACAGCCACGTTTGGCCGCGACTCCAGCGACTGCCGTTACATTTTGAGGGATTCTCGTGTCTCCCGGATCCAGTTCTCCTTGCAGTTCTACAGGAAGCTCAACAGCTCAGAATGTGGCTTTGAGATCAAGAACATGAGCAAGAAAACAAAGCTGACTGTGAACCAAACAGAACTGGGTTACCTCAACAAAATAGACCTCCCGTGGAAGTGCATAATTTGCTTTGGGGAATACCAGATCCTAGCAGAGATCCAGGAAGGGGAATCTATGGATTATTTTGAGACACACTTCCACCTGGCTGCAGCACCAATCCTGCAAGAAAGATGCCTGCCATCCCTGCAGCCTGTGCCAGAGAATGGCATTTCTTCCTTTTATCTTTCCCAAGGCAAAAAGCCTATGGAGATTGATGAAAATGAGCCATGCTAGCAGGGTTGGATTTTGAAGCCTGCTGTGCTGGTTTCAGCTGGGATGGAGTTAACACAACTCCCAGCATGAAGGGTTATCACCTCAGTCCACTCTTCTTAGTCCTTCTCACCACTGCACATCAGTCTTGGTCTTTTCAGCATGGGCATTCCAGAACATACTTTGTTCCACAGAAACATTCCTGCCACTGCTTTCACCAGGACATAGGTGCTCTCTGATCAGGGATGTGTGGAAGACAGAGGACAACTCAAATCCATTGCAGCAGATTCAGTTCCAGGACTGTGACCACATGACTTGAAGGGATATTTGCCAGGCATTAAAGCAGGGCATGCACAAGGGTTTTGGTCCCAGCTGAGGAGGGACACAAGGTCTCGTTGGATTTGTTATACTTTGTGCTTTGCTTTGAAATTCCAAACAGTATTTGCAAGCCTAGGTTGTAACTTCATGGATTTTGCAACTTAGAAACAGTTTGTCAGCAAAATCTGTGTGGGTTTATGTTTTTACTAACTTTGCAGCAAAAATTTTCCCTTCTGTTTTTTAAAATCAATTCAAATACATATTTTTTAGCAACTTAACAACTTTCAGTTTGTGAATGTAAAAAACATGCCAGTGATCATGGTATATAAGTATAAACCCATTTAAATTTTGTAATACAATATAATCCAGATGACTTTTGTAATAAAAGCATCCTAGGAAGGATTTGCTGTCTTCTACAACTGCAGTCCTTGAGATTATTTCTTAAATCTTTCACAATTTTATCCTCTTTCAGGTATTTCCCGGGTTGTTCAGTGAAGTTTTTCTGTGTCAGGGGGTCAGTTTTTCATTGTCACTTGGAGTTTTTTGGTGTCAAGTATATTAGTTTGCTTGGAACATGTTGGAAGGACTCTGACCACGCATAGGAGTGACCCATCTGCTCATCCCTAAACCTTAGGATGCATTTCAGCATTAATCATCCCAAGAAAACCATAATTATAAGTGAGGCAAGGACAGCTGAGATTAAGGTAACCAACCACAAGAGAGAGAGGCATGGGAGAGGGAGTGGAACTCCAACAGAGGCTTAGGTAGGATTTGTCTATTCATCTCATCCTTGCCAAAAATATCTTGTTCCCTTGTTTTCTACTCTTGGAACTAGGCTCTGGTTGTAACATTTACAGTCTTTGGCCTGGATGTGCAGTTCAGCCACCACCTGAGTCTTCCTCTAGTCTTTACCTAGGGTGGCAAATACCTGCAAACACAAACTGGCTAGAAAAGACCAAGATAAAATATAACTTGAAAGAAGCTCTTACATATAAAAGCTTTTACATCAAATCAGGCTCTCCTAAAATGCATGAAAACTTTATTACACTCACTAATCTGTCTGATGTGTGAGAGAGGAAGGAGTATTACTTATGGATGACGTGCAAGTTCTTGTTTTGTACTGCTCTAGGCTTAAAAAACAGGTTGCTCCTAGTATCATTAAGCATCAGTTGTTATTCAGTTTCTGTTCCCTGTCCCTGACACATTAACCTCTGATCATATTAATTGCTTACAATTTCTGGGCTCTTATCTACACAGAAAGTGAGAACCACAATCTGAGATTTCAAATAGAAGTATCTACAAACAGCAGTTACCTGAGGAAAATCCCTGTCTAGTCTGCAGGGTTCAGAGTGCAGAGTGCAGAAATAAATCTCAGGAGACTTATTTCACAAGCAGAGCATTCTTTGGGCACCTCCAGGAACCAGGAGAAAACCTTGGGAATGGAAACAACCCCCCAGCAATTTCATGGCTTCCAAACACTAAGCATTTCTACAACTGGGGTAAGGATCAACCCTAAATTATGCTTTAAAAAATTAATTCTCTCCTATCACTATGTTGATTTGACCCTTTACTGCAGCTTGTTTCCAACAGGTCTGGAGAAGGGAATTTGGGATTCAGGATCTTAAGACACAGCTAATTATGCCTTTAAACCTTCCTTAGTTAGGTGTTGTACAGGTAATTTGGGGTAACATATAACAGTTCACCCACTGCTTTCACTGTCTCTGACATGGTAGCCCCAAACCCAGCAACAGATACACCATTGCCAAACATAAGACTGACTGAAAATTTTAATGACTTTGAAATTTTGTACAGATATGCATTTTACAGTACTGTTTCATGGGAGCTGTTTATAGAATCTTTCCAGTTCTTAAATACTGAACACTCAATGTGGTGCACTGAGCTCTGAAAATGCTATTCACCATGGCTACAGAACATGCCCATCACAGAAAAAGCCTTCAGCTGGAGTCAGCTTCCTCTTTCATCCCAAGAGCAGGACTGTCAGCTAATTCACTTCCTCAAGGCATGGTGAGGACAAGGAAACCTCATGCTCACTGGCCAGGAAAAGCAATGACCAGTGCAGGGGAGGTTAAAGAGTTAAGCAGGTAAAAAAACATGTTATTTACATGATGAGGAAGTTGCCTTCATTCCCTTAGGAATACATTATACAAACAAAATGTTCAGGAGAAGTCACATCTTAGGAGCTTATGCCAAACCCAAAATATACATTTGATGTGTACAAATCTTTAAAGCTCATTACAGGCATTGCAAAAGTAAACAATGACATGAAAACCTTTTGAGTGGCAAAACTACAACTGAAATGAGGAGATGGAATGTTACCCATAGGATTCATCTGTTCTTCCATGTTGTTTGTACTTCTTTAATCCAAAGTGTTGCAGTATTTTTGTTCCCTATCCACCCTGATATTCCATATAGGCTCAGATGATCTAAAGCAGTTACACAGCTTTAACCAACAAACCCAGTTCTGATGATGGTGATGATGATGATAGAGGTTTATTACTTCTCACAGCTACAGAAAACAGAACATAAAATAGATAGAATAGATAGAATGGCTTTACTGAAGCTTTGGGGAAAGCTTGAGATCTACAAGTGTTTTTCTTTGAAAAAGTCTAATTTAGATGAAATCTCAGGGAAGACCACACAGGACTTCAGAGCAGATGTGCAGTCCCTGAACACCTTCACAAATTTCAGCCTGTGTTGGCAGGATTACCCGTCCAGTTTAGAGGCACAGGAAGGCTAGAGAACTTACACACACCGGTAAAACATCAACTTCTTTGCTTTTTAAAATGCAGACAGAGAAATTGAGGCCTTAGGTTCTTGTTTGTCCCACTTCAGAGCAGAGCAGACATCCCTCCCCCAGTCTGCTCCAAAATGCTTTGCCATCACTGCTCCAGTCCAGTTCAATTACACAACTAAATAATTCAATAGCAACAGATGTTGGTGTGCTCAGGGGGGAAAGAAAACCAACACTTTGGTCCTTCCAGTTCTCCACTAGACACTGGTTAAGATTTCCAGTTGGACGCATGAAGAATTTATACTGTATTTTGGCTTCTGTTTTTCTACCTAGCACACGTTATACAAGACAATATCCTACCTAACCTGATGATTTACACTCTGTCCATTGAGGTTAACCATCCAAGAATTAACAAAATCAATGGAAAGAGGACCACACAAGGGGAGGAAAAATATAAGTCTGACAGGGAAAATCTGCCATTTCCTACCTGTGGAGTTCATTTTGCAGCTAAGTGAACCCTCTAAATAGCTAAAGAGCAAGTCCAAAAGCACAGACTGGAAATAAAAATGGTTTAAAAGTCTTTCTCTATATTCAAGTATTAGATAAATGATATAAGATTGTTTCAGAGAATAAATATTAGGCCAATGATGACTCTTAAAACCAAAAATCAGTATAAACATCATTCAAGGAAAAAAAAAGGCAAGTTAAAATATAGATAAGTCAAGCTATGAAGCTTCAATTAGTGCAGGTAATTTTCCATTAAATCCAGAAATATACACAAGAGAACCATCCCAGTTTTCCCAAAAGTTTAGAAGGTAGGTGATAAAATTGCACTTAATTCGGAATCGACTCAGACAGCAAGTCATTCCCATTCCTTGCTGCTCTGTTTCCAAGGAGAAGGGAAAGCAGGTTGCAAAAGGCTCTGTACATTCCATTTCCCTTTCCAACATTTTGGTCACAAACGAGGACTTGCCCAGAGGTTCACTATCTGTCCTGGTGGTCAGAATCCGACAGCCTCACATCCGACGTGGACAATTCCAGCACGGGATTGACAAACCCGGCGTACTCGGAATTGCCATTGTCATCCATCTCGGCACTAACAAAGTCATTCTCCCACTCCAATCCGTTGGAATCATCAGAGGCTGATGCTGGATGACTCCCTGTCTTCCTGCTGTTGAACTTGAGTGCCGCCCGTAGGATGTCCTCCTCAGTTTTGGAGCGCTCCCGCATCGGGATCATCCTGTTCATGCCTGGCATGGAAGACATGGTTATGAGAAACTGGATTTTGAGGGAATTGCCTTTACCTTTCTGTTAGAAATCTGCATAAATATTGGATTCATTGGTATAGGAAAGGTCTTGAGTTTGCCTGAAGATACATTGGATTTCACACAAAGTAAGGCAAAATATGTCTCTGAAAACTGCCCAAAGACATCAGAGATCTTACCCATCTTGTTGGAAATTATACATCTTCTCATGGTGTATCAAAACCCTTTCACACCACAGGGATGGAAAAAGAAGAGCATCCTAAATCCTCTGCTTATTCAGTGGGTTCCTCTCACATCCCTAAATCAACTCCCCTTTTAAATCTGGAATAACTGTCTAATTATCAGTAAAAAATTGCAAGGAAAACAAAACTCTTGAGGCACAGGAAAAAATACCAAAGAGGTTAATGATTCCCTTCATCAGACTCAAATAGTTATGTTCATGTTCTAGGGAGCTTCCAAACTAGATAAATAATGTACTGTAATATAATGTAATATATAAGGTAATGTAATCTAATATAGTAATATAATATAGCAAAACATTTAACCTACACACAAATTGTCCAAAGTCAATGTATTAAAGCAAGAAAAATCAGCCATGCCCTGTCTAAAATGAATCTTTGCTTCTTTTCCATGAGCTTTTTGAGTCAGGGGCTCAACATTTTGAATTAACTTGGTTTAAGACAAGACTTTGGCAGATTTACTGAAAAGAACAGAAAATATCTGTAACAAACAGCAGCAGCAGCAATGAGGATAACTGGGATACTCACTGGAATGGAGATCTAAGTTCCCAGTAAAAGGACTTAGGGTTTTTCCCAAAATCCTGTCAGACTCCTGCCCAACTTCCACCCTTTAAGAGGAAGTACAGGCTGTTCCTCTTGGCTCATGAGAGGGCAGCACTTCCTTACCATTAGTTTTCTTGGGAGTTTACAGGTCAGTTCCACAAATTACAGGGAAAGGCATTGAAGGATCCAAAGCAGTTAATTCATTAGGCTATTTCCACATTGATCAAATAAGGAATTTTCTCAGTAAAAGCAATTTACAGCTTAACCATTGCCAGAAATTCCTCCAGAATTAAGCTACAAATCACCTTCCCCTTTGAAAATAGCCAAGTTAAACTGTCAACACATGTAACTTGCAAGTTTCAGGATGAAGCTAAATGGCAGAATCCATACCCTCTTCATCTTCCCACTCCAGATCCAAGGAGGTGCTGTCATCGTTCCCACTCACTGATTTGGTTTTGGTCATCAGGTCACAGCTGCTCTCTGTGTTGGGAGTCAGCACTGTGGCATCAGATGAAAGTCCTACAGAAAAAAACCCCACAGAATGTACTTAAAATTTGTAAATACATTCTGATTTGAGGTCCAATATGCAAAATTAAATGCTTAAATAAAGCTTTTCTTGTGCTTCGTGGACCTTTAAACCCCAGGAGTATTGGAAAAGGCACTTCAAAGAGTAACCAATAGGTTTTAACAGATATTGTCTGAGTAGAACTACAAAGGAATTTAGTAAGCTATAAAATGGATTTGTATGAAGACTTGCACAAAAATACCCCAAATCCAGCCCTCTCCCCCTCAAAACCCCCCAAACTGTCAGCATTTCTCCAAAAATTGCCATCAGTCCTCTAACTTCTTAGTGATTATCATCTACTGTCGCCAAAACTCATATCCCTAAGTTTATTAAACTGTTTTCCTCTGGATTGCCAGTGGAATTTTTAAGCACAGACATCCAAATTCCCCCTAGGAAAAAAATTAACCATTAATGTGAGTCTAATTATTCTGCTAAGAGATGATTAATAAAGCTATAAACACACATTTGCATCTCTAATGCACAGTCAGGTTTTTCAGGAAGAGTTCACCACTGTCTCCTGTCAGATGAAGAATATATCAGATTTTTTTATACAGATTTATCTGTACAAAAATAGATGTATAGATATATAAATATCTTCTGTTTAACTCTGTGCTCCTCAGTCACTGAGCACTTCAAGACATGCTCAAGAGAAGAAAGACTTACTACTACTTCGAAATGCTTCACACTGGAACTTTGTATTCCTTAGGAAAGGATCAAGATCTTCCTCTGCCACAGAGCTGGAAGAACAATGCACAAGTTTTAAGCTTTATAAACCTCTAAGGATGCCACAAGAAAGAGATTAAGCCACCTGCCCCCGGCTCTGTGCTACAAAGCACATAAAGCTTTAGCTAAGTCCTTTATAAAATGAGCTGCAAAATGCCTTTCTGCTCCTGCTCATCACAACCTCTCCCAGTCTGTGCTTCTGCTCAGTTTTTGGTAGTATTGTCAGTTAAAAATTGAGAATTTCTGTCCCAAAATAACTCTTCCCCTCACTTCATCACTTGAGATGAGATCTTAATTTTCAACTCCTTTGTTAACTCATGAATTCAAACCCTGCTCCTGCAGCACTTTTTTTCTAAAGTCTGGCTGGTTCCTACTCAGAGTTTTCACATCTCCTTTTCTACCTGCACTTCCCTAACTGAAAATCTCTCCTATCCTCCTTCTCTTCCATTCAAAAACAGCTGTTGGATTTCAGAGCTTTCCTAAACTCAACCACCATGCCACAATAAATTCCTCTGGGGTTTATTTTTGTGTTGCTTTTACCCCCCAACACTGAACACAGAAGCTGGGAGCAAAAAGAATTAATTACTAATATTAGAATGAAACAATCAGTTAAATTAACAACACGAAGAAACAGGCAGACTGTATAAACCACTCAATTATCTATTTCTATGGGGTGTTTCAGGGCTCTGAATAATAAAAGTACTTCGATATTGGCAGAGATTCTACACATAAACACCTTTTTAACATAAATCACTAGATTTTGTGTGTGGATTATATCCATATTAGCTGGGAGTAGGTTCAATTTTGTATGTCCAATAACACCAGTGCAAACCAGAAGAACTTAGCAGAGGAGGAACAGGAGTACAAACAGTCCTGGCTGTGGATTAGCAGGAATAAAATCTGCTCTCTTACCTCTGATACTCTCCATTATTGACACCATGTGCTCTCTGTGTTATCCTTTGCTGCCTACGCTGCTAGCAAAAGAAGTAAATGGTTGATGAAGCTGAATGAAATAAGGAGTTACATACTCAAAGCAAAGAGCTCTCAACACTCAAACCTATTTTATACACCCCCAAAAACCCCAAACATCAATCTCTAGACATGTGGACACCACCTCAGTCATGACTGCACATGTCTTCTCCTCTATTGTCTTCTCTCCTTAAGTCACAGGTATTTTTTTTGTGGGTGATGCTTGACTTGTTGTGCACAGGAACAGCCACTTTGCCACTGAAAGAGAAATACTCCCTACAAACCCTTTTATCCCTGCACAAAGCAGTGCTGCCATCTCCTTCACTTGTCTCCACCAGCACTAAGTGCTTCATCTACATCAGTAAAAGCTTTGCTGCCTTGCTGGGACAAAAAGTATTCATAGCTCTATGCACTCTTTAAGCTTTCATGGCATCACTGGGCAAAACCAAGATGAAAAACACAAGACAAGCCATAAATATACTTATTTTTAGTTACTAGGGGGACAACAAATGGCATGGAAGTAGAGTGCTGCTTAAGTTTTAAGGTTTAAACAACTTGTCCCAAGTTCCTTTTCTCTGCCTTAAAAAAATATAAGAGCATAAAATCCAAGCATTAAACTATTAGATTAAAGGTAAATCACTGAAAAAAACAGTAATTATTCACTAACTATGACACAGATTGAGACAAAACTGAATGACATGGTTTTAGAGACAAGTCTGATGTATCTAGGGGAAAAATCCCTTCCAGCCTTCATAGATTTATCCCTCAAAAGACAAGACTGAAACCAGTAAGGACATGGGAAGTGTAGAAGTTGTTGTAATATCACGTAATGGTGGTTGTAGGTGAGAAGACTTAAGTCCACATGGAGAAAGAGACAGAAATTTGGCACCAACATGAACCAGTTACTGACACATGCAACAACTTTCCTGTAAGATTCCTATCCCCATACAAATTCCAAATGAAATTACCTCCCCATTTTGCCAGGCCACACACCAATACCTCAACACTGTCAGTTCCAGGACACACAGAGAGATTAAATTCCTCCAAACCCTGACATTTAGTAGGGCAACATTAGCAAGCCAAATGAGGTCTTAAGGAGGCCACACTTCCAAGGAAAAAAGTCATTTTCCCATTCCAGCAGCAAAGGGATGAGTGAGGTACTCAAAAATAGCTTTAAGTGATCAATGCATATCTGTATAAAAATGCTTCCTCAGATATCTTTACAATCCTTATGGGCTTTGAGGGGGTTGTTTGCACAGGAGATAAGTGGTGCTAATTTTACAAGGAGAGGAAATTAACATCTCTATAATCCATTCTATCTTAGGGCCTGACTAGAAGAAATGCACATTAAAAATACTGGAAGACAAGAAAAACTCTTGTACAAAACTCTGACAAAAATATCAGTTAATGCCATATAAAATTTACTTTTTGCTGGTTTTATATAGAGCAAAAGGGTTAGAAATAAAAAGGGCAGGCAAAAAGGTCAGAAAGAATTAACCCTCCCACACCAGAGGACAGAGAGAGAGAGAAATGGCAGCTATGCTGAGAGACATATATATTGGATGAAAACTCCACAGAAGGGACACCACAAACCACAGAGAGAAAGAACAATGAAGTGCACAAATATATAGAGTACATTTCACAAGTGTAAATGATAAAATTTCAGGTTCTTTTTTCACCAGCAAACCATCCCAGATCACTCAATGTTAAAGATCAGTAACTTATATAACATATAGAAGTCTGTTCAGCTAATTATAGATTAAAATCAGACATCTCATTCCAATTCTGTCCTCAGTGACAGAAGCTGTTTCAAGCAATTATGGTGATGTTCAGCTGCTCCAACCAGCTGCACTTCCCAATCATTTATCTCTTTCTCTCCTGGAATTTACAAGCCAAAGACATTTCCTCCTTAGGTTTCCCGAGATGGAAAGGATATCAGGGAATTCTGCACACACAGAAACAGAACAGAGGCTCTGATACATATTGGGGTCTTGTTCCCCTCACCTCCAAGAGCTTTTTCTGCTTTGCTGCCCTGGCTGCTTCACGTTGTGCAGCATATAAAGCCTCCTCTTCTAGTCTTAACTTCTCCTCTTGTAAGGCTAACTGTATATGAACAAAACAGTAATGGTTAACAAAAGCAGAACCTATCTATCTTCCTAGCAATAAAGTCAAGAAAACAAAAGAAAAGCAGCTCGAAAATCAAAATAAAATAAAATTGGCTACAGCTAAACCAGTTTTCCCCCATTTAATGTGTCTATCAGCTTCCCTCCCACCAAACATCCCCCAAAATTGAGGTTACTGTTAACATCATTATTAGGGAATTGCTCTAAGTGCTTGTTGAATTTTAGTCTGAACTGCACAGTGAAAGACTTAAAGCTTTTTAGTTGTATATTTCATGGCTCCTTAATGATAAATAATTCACCATTTCCACATTGTATTCCCGCATCATATTCCATTAATTGCTGCAACACTAAACAACAAATTATGGGGTGGGTTTTTTTTCCTTAAGCAAAGCTCTGGGAAAAACTGAGCACAAGAAAAGTTGGATCAAGAGTATTCTTGCATTAAAAAAAGGGTCAAATTGAACAGATCCTGGTCAGAGACATATTAATTCCAAAAACTCATGAGCAAAACCCAGTGGTTTTGAGGCCTCTCCTTGTGTTCATGGCTGATCCTAACTTCTTGGAAAGGAAATCTATCCACACTGTCCTGGTCATCACAACCACTTACCTCTGACTGAAGCTTCAGGTCAACCACTCTCTGCTTTTCAGCAATGGAGTCGTAGTGTCTTTCCTTCAAGTCAGCAATTTCTTCCTCAGTCAGAGGTCTAAAAGCACAGGAGAAACACACAAAGGCTCCATCTATTATTCATGCATGACAAACCCTAATTTGCACTTAAAACATATCCATATAATCCTCCCTGACTGGTCCCTTAACCCAGATCCAACAGGAGAACAGAATTCCAAAGTTCCAGTTCACTCAGGACAATGTTCCACACTCTTACAAAGCATTTTTTATGTCTTTATGGAAAGTATATCTTAAAAACATTGTTTGCTAACAGAACTGTTGGCTTAGAATAGTCAGGATCATTGCAGTATAAATCTTCTTGTTTTCATCCCTTACTTGTATCTGCTTAATAGTCACAGTGGGAGAGCACAGGGAAGAAGTCCTGAATCTCCAAGTCTTACCTGTGACTGCTTCCTGGGCTTTCCCCCTGTTAAAATAATACAAAAAAAAAGTCATATATTTCGAAGAATCCCATCAATAAATCAGTTTTAAGATGGGGGGGAAAAACCCCAATCTTAAATCATAGTTTCTCCCACATATTGGTTTTATAATTAGGAGGAAAAATCCAACTTGGAATTTAAAATAAATCTTGTTATGCAATCCACTGAAGTGGCTAAGCAAAACAAATAAGTACATCCAACTGAAAATAAATGTTCTAGTGGTGTATTTCAGGAACCAAACTATTAGTCCTCATGGTTTTAAATAGACTGGAAACATGATGTGTGTTCTGCCCATTACCAAGCTGCATTAAATTCATAAGAGTCAAGTTTTAAGGCCTATTTAAGGCCAACTTCTATTTTTCTCCAGTACTGCTCAGCCAGTTTACCCCTAATTGTAAAGACAGAGCACTCCCAAAAGTTTTCCTCAGCAAAGAACCCACATCCATTGATGTTCTCAGACACAGGACACTTCCCGAGTCTTATCCAAGAGTTACAGCAGGAGCAAATTCTCCTTTAAGTCTTCCCACATACACTTGTTATTCCCTCCCTGTTCTTTTTGCCTTCCCAAAGTCCATAGTGAAAGGGTTACTTCCCATACTCCCCCAAACCAATCTCTTCCCTTAGATCTTCATCCAAAGCATTAAATACTCATTCCTAGGGCAAGGAAAACTTATAGCAAAACAACCCTGTGATATAAGTCTACACCACCACTTAAAGGGGGAGGAAGAGGCACACCTTGGAACCATTTTTAAGGGCTGTATGAGCAGGTTGCACATGGTGACCAAAGTCCTTACCTCATCACTTTCCACAAGGTTCTCAAACTGTGGAGACAAAGAAGAAAATGATCTTTACAATTCAATAGAACAAGTCACTAAAGCCATGCACGAAATATGATTGCACATTTAATTTGCCTTTCAAAAACACTACTCCAATGATAAGTGGGACTGTAATGCCATTTATGAAAGCCTCTACTTTCAGAGGATTTATTACTTTTAGAGCAGGGCCTGTCTTCTTGCCAATGTTTCTGTCCTTAAGCATTAGATTCTCCTAAAAGAAGACTCCAGATTTAAAGCCAAAGCATTCTAAGCTGCACAAGCTCATCCAGCTAACCCACAGAAACAAAGCAAATGGGAATTCTCCAACTGTTCTCAGTATGTTAATCTTACAGCACATCAGACATGGGGGTCAGTACCTACTCCAAGACTCCTTATTGACCTACAGCTTGGAGGCAGGATAGAACCTTCCCTTCCCCATCCCATTTCTGCAGCAGGAACACTCTCTCACACCTGCAAGTTGTGCACCAGAACAGATTTCTGCCCACCATATACCTCTAACCCCCTTTCTTGAAAGCCAAATCATTAATTATACACAGTAATTAATGTTATTCTCAGTAACAGGGACAATCTGAACAGTCTAGGACTTCCTAAGGAACACTCAGGGAAAGTAAATCAGGTTATTCCAAGGATCTCAGTTTAGCCAAATTAACCTTACACTACCCTTGGCAAAAAGGGGTGAGATGTGGAGGGCAGGAAAGCAACTCTGTAGTGAACAATGTGGACTACAAATGCAACAAACTCTAAGGGGACCTCGTCAGCTTCTTTTTGTGGAATCTGATGCATGATCCTGCAACCAGGAACTAAATATTCTGCACGTAAAACAAGCAGCAAAGGAAAAATCACTCCCAACACAGCAGAGATGACAGATGCATCAGGCAGTCTGTGGAATGCTCTGGTGATGAGGATCAGATGATAACAGATACTTCTCTCCAAAATGATAGATTAAAGTGAGGTGATGCATTAATGTTCTGAGGGGCTATAAGAGGCACTCTCTTGCCACCCACTGCAGCAGCAATTTGGCCTGGAATAATCCAGAATATTTCAGTGCATATAAGCTGCAAAAAGTGTCAAAGGCATTGGTAGGATTGCTACAAATGTCAGCACTTACCTCTATAGTGAAGTGTTCTCCTGTGGAACATGTTCTGAAGTACTTGGATCTGGAAAAAGAAGTCTACAGTTACACCACAGAAGAGTCTTCAGTGCATAGCAGAAGGGAAATGAGAAATTAAAACAGCTTTTAAAATGTTAAGTATAAACCAACCATAACATCCTCATGTACTAAACACATTGATATGTTAATCTGAGCTCTGCATCATGAACACAGCAGAAAGAGGCAAAAGCATGTCAACATACTCTGCAGAACTGGAGAAAAGACTGAAAGCCTCATGAGGTGAAATTGTTTATCAGGATGCTTGACTTGACATTTACAGACTATTATAGCCTGTTCTGCAATCCCTTCAATACATTTTTACTCCAAAAACATAATTCCAGGCAATTTTGCTCATCACAGCACTTAACTCTTTCCTTGGCAACATCGGTGTGAAACAATATATTTCATTTTGACAGCTTGGCACAGGTAGAAGGTTAAACCTCAGAGAAAAACATCCACTAAAAGGTCAAGACAATATTTATCAACTAAAACAATATTCAGTCTAATTTTATCCAGGGAATCAGTCTCCTCCTTGATCCCTCAATCAGAATTCTTCCTGTATTATTCCTTTTACAGAGAACACTTAGCACTGTCCTCTACAAACCACAAGACAGTATTAAGTTGCCTGAACACATTTTTACCTAGCCAGAGAGGTTTGGCCACCAGCCAACAGGACATTCCAATGTAAACACTCTGCAGTACAACATCCACTGCATCGAACTGTTCCCCAAACCAGGGTTTCCAGTTCCAAGTGCTGAGTGGCATCAGGAATCAACCCAAGGCCTCAGGGATTTCTACACTTGCACAATACACTGTTCAGTGCTTGCAACCAACACCTACTTGGACTACACTGAAAGCAACACAGCAGCCAAAGCCTCAATTATTTTCATCCTATCTTATTTGATCTCGTTTTTCTTTGGAAGTCACTTCAGGGAACATCTCCCCTGGCAACTTGTTGCACAACCCACTTGTTCCCTTGTTGCACAACCTTTCCTGCCACTAAGGAACTGCTTCCAGGGGATTCACTGCTATGAAAGCAGAGGGAAAAGGCCACCTGAATTCATGCACTACATGGCAAGTGTAATTGGGACACTGGCATGAACACTTCAAACCAATTTTACTGCTGCCCCTGTGTCTATTTCAGTGTGCAGGAGGCAACACCATTAAGAATCCAGTTCCAGAACACTAACAGGAAATTGTTCCAGGACTATCTGTGTTGTTAACACAAGTGTAATTCCAGTTTACAGCACCAGGTGTTAGGTAAATGATTTCCAGCCTCACAAACACAACCTGCACTCAGCTTAGCTGCAAGAACTGAACAATGATCCTGCAGCTAAGACAATGCAGTGCAGGTTCCTAAATGTGATGACAAATAGCCCAACAGCAATGACACCTCCAGCAAGAGCTACACTTTCAGCTACTTACTGACTTGTGGACTCAGTCACAGCAAACCTAGTTCTATCCCAAAGTATGACCCCTTAAATCCCAGAACAACCATGGAAGCTTGAGGTCATCAGGGACAGAAACAGAAGATCCATCAACTTCATCCCAATACAACTGAAATTTCAGCAACCTGATCAAATGGTTACAGCTTTTATTAGTCTCCTTTAAGCTCTACTGTTCCATTTTTTTCTAAAACAGACTTGAGACACATTTCGGTTGGATAAGTACTAGAGGAAACAGCTCAGCTGATAAGCCACAGGCCCTGTACAGACTGTCAGATCTATCCTCAAAGATATAAAGCTATTAAAGAGACTAAGTTTTCAGCACTCCATATATAAATATCTCTCTATATATATATGTATGTATATTTTAAGCACAATTCCAAGCAAAGGCAATTTATAATCTTGTAGTATATTAAAACACATTAAAATTTCTATACTTAATTATTTAATTAGGAGCTTATTTCTTACAGTCAAATCTTGGAGCATCTAAAAATAATTAAGGTTGGGGTGGGGGATCTGAGTGATTAAAATCAGGATTGACTTGATAAGCTAAATTATTACATTGGCAGCAATTTAATTTGTAAACTTAGAAAAGAAGACAGATTTTAAAGGTTTAGCTTTCCATACAATTTCATGCCCAGTGCAAGGGAAATAACCTCAATCACTCCACACTGACACTGTTCTGTGAACTACCAGCACACCCAGAAAACAAAGATGACCTGAGACATGTGCCAGCAGCTTTCTGTACATTTTATATTTCCAAGGCTTCCACCACAGGTTGTGCAAGACTTGAAGAAATGGATGTGACAGTTGAACATTGCAACAGCAGACAGAAAGATGTGCTTCACTGTAAGGACAGGACTAATAGAGTACTACATGCATGGATTCTCACTGCGCTGCTAAAAAAGGGTATTGGCCTAGAAGACTCATCAAAACACACATGTGGAGGAAGAACCTTTCAAGTATTATCTGTTCTTCTCACAGCACAAGAACCAGATAGCTCAGTGCCTGCTGTCAAGGCGATTCAGATGTCCCCATACCCTCTGTTAGAGTGCTAAAAATACAAGCAGGTATCCTCTGCATGCACTGCCCTGGTTTTTCAGCAGTTTCTCTGGGAAGCAGCTTGTCTTGAAGACCTTCTAGGACAAGAGGAGATTTGCCTGCCAGAGCTGACGTGAAATAGGAGACTATGGGTTTGCAACACGACTTGTATCCTAATACATGAAAAATAAGTGATACATTCGTCGGTATAGGGAAGAAACCCCCAAGGTTTTTACAAGTAGCATTTCCTTCCTGCTTGTACACTGCTTTTCCTGAGCTGATTGTCACAAATTTACAAGCGATACGAGTTCCTTTGAACCATTCTGCTCCCGATTTACCCCAGCAGCGTCTCAGCCTGTGACTCACGGCCAAGCTCACATTGCAGAAAACCGGGTGATTTTCCACCTTTACACAACCACAGCTCCTGCACACGCTTTGGCAACTGCCCTCGAAAACCTTTCTAAGCGTCTCCCGCCGGAAAAAAACCAACCCAACACCAACCCAACAACGCTGGAAAGGGGCGAGGAGCCATCCCTGGAAGTTCATTAGCACACAAACCACAAGGACCGCAGCAGCCTCCCGGCGGGGTCCGGGGGTGCCGGGGCTGCGGGAAGGGCAGTGCTGCTGCATCCCCTGCCCACAGCATCCTCCCCGCGCGCCCCCGC